TAAGAGTTGCACTAAAAACCAAAATCGTTTTTTTTCGAAAACAGATTTTAGTGTAAAAATTCCCGTTATTCCTTAATTTTTATGTGTTTAATCCCAGCGCTTGTGCAAACTATTGTGAATTTTAAAACTTGACCTCCCGAATGCATCAACTAGATATTCACTTTCCAATCGAACAAGATACTGAAGTTGAAAATCTAAGCATTATTTCGACTACTTATCGTGTACACAGACACAAAAATAAAAATAACATAAAAAAAACACACATCATTGTAAAATCAATACATTCATCGTTCCACTCAGAATCTAAAATATAACAGGAGCCATGTATTATATTTTCATGCATTTTTACAATACAAATACAATTTTATGACAATTATAGAAAAAGAAACTAAAAAAATTGAAAACTTACAATATCCGTAAACAGCTCGAAAAGTGTCAAAATATTATGCTAATATTATAAACATTCAGTAGAAATGTCATGTATCTGCGGTCATTTGTTTTAGTTTTTAGTTACACCAAAAACTGATTTTGCATAAAATTTCCAGTTTTTCCTTAATTAGTATTTTGTTTTTCACGGCGCTTTTGATAACTACTGGAACATTTTTACTTTTGACCCTCTAAACTCCAAAGTACCAACTAGATTCGATTTCCTATTAGAAAAGGTACTTTGAAGAAAATCTAAGCTTTTTTAATGTCCTAAAAAGCGTCAACATTTAATACATGGCTCCTGATATATTGCTTAAATAGCAGTTGAAAAATATGAATTATAAAACTATTTATAATAGTTATAATTATTAAAAATATTTTTTTATAAGCATTTTAAGTTAGATTTTTGACAACATTTATCAAATTTAAAACTTAAAAAGTGGTTATCTCTCTGCTGTACAGTAGGTTACTCGTGAGTAGTGGGTCACTGTAATAATGGATGGTGTTAAATTTGAATTCAATGAATTATAATAATTAATAATATCAAGTGAATAAAGTAATTTATATATAACCTATTCACGTGGACGTTGTTTTAAATTTTCGATCCTTAGCTATAAAAGTTGAACATTTTATACATTTTCAACTACAAAATCTTTAAATTTTGAATTTGATAAACGTTGTCAAAAATCGAACTTATTATGTAATAATGTTGAATGATGTAAATGATGATAAATTTTCTAATTGATAGAAAAAAAGTCACAATCTTGAATCTTTAAGAAAACAAATGTCAATAGTATCATCATAAGAAAATTTAAGTATGAAATATTATCGGAGGCTTGGTGACTTTGGTAAAATCAAAGATATACAATATACATAGGTAGATATTAATAATAACTTAATAGTAAGTTTTTCAATTATAATAGATATTAATTTATTATTAAGGCAGTGACGGCTCGTGGGTTTTTAATGAAGTAGTGCACATCCAAAAAAAAAAAATAGAACCAATATTATACATATATTAAATAATTTTTTACAAATTGTAGTTATTCACCAATTAGCCTTTATTTTGTTTATATTCTTAAACAGAAACACGATTGTTGTTTTGAATGTCCGATAATTATGGACTATAATCGGAAATATAATAAACGAATGAGAGTAAAATTAAATTATAATGAATATGCCGACGCTCAACGGCGCGACTAAGTAGAGAATAATTCTCTGAAAACAATTTAATTGGTTATGTGCACATTAATTCCATTTTAACGCGGGCTGCGTGTTTTAATTTTTACACTGTACAAATGACAAATGTGCACATTGATTGTGTGCACTACTGCACCACTATAATACACACCGATACGGTGATACCTTTCCGTCGAGGACAACCGCCCGGCTACCTATTTGGCCATCGAAATAACCCAAACCAAATTTTATATTATTTTCATAATACTCTGAATTTATGTTTTTTTATTTTTAAAAATAATCTTAATAACACTATAAGTACTTAGTTGTATAATTATGATTTGTTTTCAATTTTTCTTGAGTTCGGGTAGGTAGTGCACGTGCACTTGTGAACATATAAACGAGTCGCCACTGTATTAAGGTTAATATCTATGATGATAGGTAAATCTCATATCTTTTGTTGAAATTCAGGGCCGGATTGGTAGGTATATGTATCGGCCCATCAAGATTTCCACTTATCAGCTGCCCATTTACATATTCACTGGCCTAAAATATTACGAGCTTATATAGGTGGCCAGTCGTATTTTAAACATGTATTTATTTTCACTCATCCTCACATAATATTTGAATCAATAATTATGACAATATTACCATAATGTTTTATGGCAGCTGCAGCTAATATCTTTCGAAAATATTCCTCGTAAAATTGTGTAACGTATGCGGTAACTAGGTACCTACTATTGTAGTAACAATAGCAGATAAGTGGCTACCAGTACGTTAATGTTGCAGGTCGCAGACACTTCTTCAGATAAGATAGTCGTGGTTGATGAATGAATAATATAACAGTTGTTGTATATTGTGAATTTTATTATAAAACTCGATAATTTTACCAAGTTCAAAATATTGTTGTACAGAGTGGCGTGAAGGTGCTTGCACTAACGGGTGGTAGTACACGTCTGAAAACAGGCCGATTAAGGCTCCTTTATATATGAAGTTCCCCGTGCCCCTCGCCTACAGATACGGTATCTTGGTTCTCACGGATGTGATTTGTGTGGTCATCATTCCAGCCCACGCATTTATGATTGAATGTATTACTAAACTATGACTATTATTAAAATAATCATTTTACTCTTTTTTTTATTTGAATTTCGTCGTATGCACTCAGTGTCTCTGTCAAATATGACAACCGCCTATTTTGACCCTATTGTCCTTAATATCTGGTTATGCCGACCTATTATATATTATAATGACTATACACTCGTGATTTATGATTTATTGTCACGTAGTAACTTGCTTACTACATCTCCCCCTTTAAAAGTTGATTTTTATCGTCTAAAACGAGAAAAATTAACTCAATCATCCTTCCATTAGTTCAAGCACTTTCCTATGGTTACAAATTTTACATACATCAATTATTACATTACATTCAATTATTACATGTTTACATAATATGTCGTTACAAATATTTAGTTACATTATTGTAATTATATGGTACATTCCACCATATTTTTCCGGTTATATTTATTAAATATTATTGACAAAATACAGATTACAATCCACAATATTACAGTATATATTTTGCTTATTATCTAGGTTAGTATCTTATGTGATTAACAATATATATATATATTTTTTGTTTTACAACAATAATCTTATCTTAGTGTTAATATAATATGAATTAATCCTTTAATATAATATGAATTCTTAAAATCTATTACAATATATTTTCTTTTCGTGCACTATATATATATGATAAAATAGTGGTATATTATATATTTTTTTTTTTCCATTATCATGTTAATTATATTTTAAATAAGCTAGATTAATATATATCTTTTTTTTTTCCATCACCGTGTTAATTATGTCCAATATATGCTAATATGTTCCTTTATGTATTTGTATATTATTTTATAAAAAATTTAATCTTAAATTTTCTTTTTTTTTTCATTCATTTTTTTTTCTACGTTTATGTTTTTCCTATATATATATTTTCCATTATTTATCCTTATCTAAACATATTCTTCCTAATTATCATTTGTTTCTATCTATTTTACTACAGTTCTAGGCCAGAAATAAACTATTCAATCAAAGTTGTATTTCTGGTCCAGTCCAGCATTAAAATGATTAGATTTTCCGCATGTGTAACATCCGGTTCTAATCTGATACTCATGATTTATTGTCACGTAGTAACTTGCTTACTACAATTGTCTACCTTTGACTAAAAAAAATAGTTTATCAGAAAGTTACATATATGTTTTTATGAGCGTTTGAAGTTCGAATAAAAGTTATGAAATGTTTATTTTTTTTAGCTAAGGATTGAACATTAATTAAAATAAGGTTTCTCATAAGTATTAAGTAGGTAGTTCATACTGTGACCAAAAAATCTTGGATATCTTTTATAGATATTTATAAATTTGGACAAACTAACATATTTAAACTAAGAATAACAGTTTCAGTTATTATGCTATAATTCAAAAATATTATTTGTGATCATTTAAAACTTTTAATGTATGTAAGTATAATATTATATTTTATACACACAATGACAATTTCTAATGCAATGTTTTCTACAATAATTGGTATCATAAAATATACTTATTAATATAGGCTGACGGAATGTATTTGCTTAGAACCGTGTTTTGTATGCAATGATTTATCATTGAATTTAAATTTAATATATACAGGTATTCTACAGTAGTGACCCACTCAACATATTTTATATTGTACACCTGAGCGGTACATAAGAAAATTGTTTGTTTACGGTTGAATATCCAGTCAATCTAACTTTAGTCAATCATAAAAAACTAATGGGAGTTTATGCTCAACTTTAAAGAAAGTATCTACAAAAAAATGTACAAATATTTGGGCACTGTACACAATAGCCCAGGTAAAATGCACACATTATCAAATTTATATATGATAATTGTACACCATTCCAACATATCCATAAAAGTAATTAGATAATTACAATTATTTTCTCCAATAAATAATATTATTAATTCATAACAATTTTATTTTTTTGTCAGGTCACATTATGATTTCATAGAAGAAATTTATTTTTTATCTATCATAATCTTTATATATGTACTGGAACATATAGTTTAAAAACTAATATAGTCATAGACACACAATTTTCAATTATATATAATTAAATAGCTTATTAATTAAACTGAAATTAAGTTGTAATAATCAAATTGTCAAAAAGAGTAAAGGCCAACAAATAAACAATCTAGATCATATTATTTTGTTATTAAGAAAACAGCTTTAATATAAATCATTAAATGAAACCAACTATCCAAAATATAAATTCATAAAAAAAAAACTGTATACAAATATTTGAAAATGTATAAATAACTGAAGTCCAAAGGAAATAAATTAGTATCAAAGAAAAAAGTTTATTTTTCATATTCTTGTAAGCATAGTTCAAACGATTCTTTACTTATAACTTTATGTTCATAGAGACTATTGAATATTTTTAATACCATTCCTAATGGAAAAACAATATGACATCATTAATAAAATTAAAAATTATTTAGGTAGCAACTAACCTCCAGGATGATTAAGTGCAGCAGATATTATTTGAATGCCTAACATACATTGTACTTCTCGTTTCTGGATTTCTTCATGTTCTGGGAGTAAATTAATATAATATGTTAACAATATCAAATGACTAGCAGCAAAGAAATCCTCATAAGAATAATTCAATCCTATAAATTAAAAAATAATTTTGAATAGTTGAGTATTTTACTAATTATTTTACTATAGGTTCAGAAGTAGTGACTTACTCAAACATAAAATGACAATAGCTATAGTTAATGCTCGCACAAACAGAGGGTTTTTTATGATTTCTTCACTGATATTAGTCTAATTTAAAAATAGATGAATATTTAAGAACAATTTTTATTATTAACATGCATAATACAAAATACAATGCAATAAAAAAATAATTTAAATGTATTGTTTAATTATTTTACTTACACATGTCCAGCTTTCTATATTATCAGTTAACTTAATTTTATCATAAATTGCAATAGATAAAAGGAATACTCCAATTCGCTAAAATTGTAAAAAAAATATATTATAAATTAAATGATATAGAATAAATAATACACTCATTTATTAATTATAATGTTTAAAAACTTACATCTTTTTTGAAATATTTATTTATTTGGTTATTGGGCATAAATATGTCTAGAGTTACATTTTCTAACATATTCCACTTATTGTAAATCCACAATATACCACATAGTTCCTAAAATTATAAAATGGTAATATTTAAATATAAGTGGAGAATCAGCCAGTTTTATTGTTATAGGTAGCAATAATCTTGTACATCGATATTATAAAAGTTTAAAATATGTATGGCTGCTAATGAGGTACTTTAAAAACTCTCTAAAAAGTGACACTGTAACACTGCAGAACTTATAACAGCAATAATAATTCCAATGGTTTCTTATGAAAGAGCAATTTGTACTATCAATATAAAGCAATAATATTGCAAAATTGGTCAACGCCAATTTAGAGTAGAATAATGTACAAATATTGGATTTATACATTTCACATACAATGAAAATGAAAAAGTTCAGGGGGTCACCAATTAATATTTTTAATGAGCCACATTAGTATTCTGGAAATTATTCACAGGCCTGCTGACTTTGGTTAAACCAATGAACAAAAATGATAAATTACAACACCAGAACATATAATATTTACAATTTTTACCTTTTTTCTGTTGTCTACAGGCCACATAAAAATTTGTCCGCGGACCGCCATTTGGTGACCCCTGGTAGTAACTAACTAAATTTCCATGTTTTATACAATTATTACTCTAAAAATGACTACTAGTCTGTACACCTTTTATAATTTTAGCCCCCCCCCCCCCTTATAAAAACAACCATCTAAATTGTGGATTTGTTATGATATCTTTTGGTATAGGAAAATAATTATAATTGATACTTTGAAAAGGGAGGGGGAGGACTTAAGTCTGTAAACTTATATAATATTTAAAGTAACTGCATGCAGCGATATTAATAACTGAAATACTTAATTGTACTCGTTCAATATGCTATCTACCCACTGCTGTGTAAGTAACATAACAAAAATTACAAATTACCATAATGATATTACTTTTGCAGTAATGTTATAGTAATTTCATTATATTTTACTTAAATTAACGCAATTGTAACAAAATTACTTATTAAAAGTTATTTCTATGGAGTAACGTGTTATTTTCCATGTTATTAAAATAAGTTACGAATGTAGAATATATTACAAAACCTAGGGGAGAGAAAAATTAATAATCAATTAAATTAATTTATAAACATTTTATAAACAATACATGCATATCTGTTATGAAAGATCTCAGAAATTAATACTTAGGTATACATTTTGTTCATGTATAAACATTAAGTCATTAACAATATACTTACATCATCAATGTTATACCTATACTGCTACACAATTTATATAATAGTTTACCTACTACTTATTAGTCCGTATAGTTGCTATATGGACTGATTTTGTAATTCATTTTTATATAAGTAACATTATTTGTAACACCCTACTTTTTAATGAAAAAGTTACTTAATGTGATAAAAATAATGTCAGGTAACACAAATATAATTTAAATAAAAATATTTAATGTAACGAGTAACGTAATTTTATGACTTATTAAAAGTAATTTCTCCAATACTGTATCCACAGCACGTTTGGCGAAGAAGGAAATCTATTAAGGTTTAAAATATTCTGAGAAAAATGTAGGAAGTATGGACATTATAAAAAAACCAGAAAATGGAGAATATTCGTGAAAGAAAAACTCAGACATTGGAAGTCTATTCAATATACCGAACATTCAAAATTTCTTAATATTAAAAATAATAGAGTCGGCCAGATATGCATAGCGAGCAAGGCACAATTTTATCTCTAAAGTTTTAAGAAGATGCTACACCTCCATGTGTTGTCTCTGTTTTACAAGAGAACAACATAGTACAAATTATGTTAACAATACTCCATTTTACTGTTATTTTTAAAACTAGAGCTAATTGACCCAAGATATAATTTAAGGGTAAGATTATTATCTAGGCCATCTTGAAGGATTTTATTGATGTTATTATTTTTAAGTAAGTTATTATAATTTTAAAATGTACAAAAAAAGTAGTTTAAAAATGGTCATAACTTGCTTCTTAACAAAAATATCAATAAAAGCCCTAGATAATAATCTTACCTTTAAATTTTATAAGATATCAATTCACCCTAATTTAAAAATTGCAGAGTAAAATGTATTATTATGAACGTACAATTTTCCATGTTAAACGTTTGTAAGACGGAGACAACACTTGCAGGTGTGGTATCCTAATCAATAAACTATCTGGAAAGAGACCACGAGAAATACTCCAAAGCTGTATGTACCGTGTAAAGAATGATGGATAGAACGGCAAGAATAAAAGGCTCAAATGGCAGAAACCGTAAGAGAGACTTAGTGGAAGCTGCAAAACAAACAACTTCAAGGCATGGAAAGCAAAAAAAAAAAATAAAACAAATAACTAATCTGCTACATACTTCTTTGATGTTCTGTGTTTCCTTGGAACTATTTATTTGATATAAAACTTCGGTAAACAATTTACTAGAATTGTCTGGTCGTATGGATTTACATGAATCTTTTAAATTGTTGAAGTCGAATGAAGCATTCTGAGATAATAATAATGGAGCTATAAATAAAACATCTTAATTAATTATGTTTGTATATTTCAAATAATTAATAAGTGTTGGATAAAAAATTACCTATAATGGCAGCAATATAGGAAAAAAATTGAGGGTAATCCATTAAAAAATCATTCCAATTTTTAAGAACATCATCAATTCTTCAGAACAAAAATATTAACAGAAATAAGAATGTTATATCGTTATATAATTTGAAAAAGCATAAAATAAATAATTACCCTTGAGTGATGGCAGCCGAAGAAAGAATTTTTTTGGATAAAAGTTCTGCAAAAATCTTTCCTGCCACTGTTGTTTGACTGATAGGACTATCTAAAGTTATAAGTGACATAGATTTCACAAACTCTTCACACCTTGTGTGGATTACCAAAGATTCATCTTCTGATAATGAATAGATTATATCCTATAAAAAAACACAATTAAAATTATAATTATAATTCATATTTTTGTCTCAAGTACATACATCTAAATTTTGCAGTTGCTCAGTTGCTAGAAGTAATTTTTTACAAATTAATTCCAAATTAATTGTATGATTAACTGGTGTGTCCTTGGGTTGTTCAACTGGCTCTATGGGCTTTAAAAGACAATTTATTGTATATTACATTTTACTTAAGTTGTACCACAAGTATTAAATATAATTTATATATTACCGATATTTCTTTATCATCGTGAAGATGATCTTTTATTTTGTTTATTAAAATGTTATAACTGTCAATACGATCATCATTCCATTTATTTTTGTGCAAATTTATGATATCTTCTATCATATAACATGTTTTTAATTGAACCTTTGATTTATAAGTATTTAGCTTATCAAAGATATAACTTAAATTGTATATCTAAAACAATAAAATATGGTTTATTAAGTAACTATAAAATTTAATAAGACAAAAAGTAAATGATGTATATTTTAGATTCTGAGCGGAACAATTAATAAATTGGTTTTACAATGAGGTATTTTATTTTTATTTTTTGTCATTTTTTGTGTCCGTTTAGTAGTTGAAATAATACTGAGATTTTCAATTTCAATATCTTGTTCATTGGGAAAGTGAATCTAGTTGGTGCATATTTTTTTTGTGTCTGTCATCACCTTTTAGGACAGTAAAAGTGCTTGGATTTTCTTCATCAGTAGCTTTTCTGGTAGGAAAGTGAATCTAGTTGGTACTTTGGGGGGTCAAAAGTATAAATTTCCCAGTAGTTTTCACAAGCGCCGGGAAAAACAACATAAAAATTAAGGAAAAACGGGAATTTTTACGCAAAATTGGTTTTCCAAAAAATCGATTTTGGTTATTGGTGTAACACTAAAACAAATGAACATGAAATTTTCACTGGTTGTTTATATTTGCATTTTCTATACACGATAACATTTTCAAAATATTTTGATTTATTTTGAACTGTTTAGGGACATTTTCATTTTCCATTTTTTTTTAGTTTTTTTTCTAAAAATATCAATAAAATTTTATTTATTGGTTGCGAAAGCTTGAAAATTTAATAGAAGGCTCCTAATATGTTGTTTCAAAGGCAGATGAAAAATATTGAAAATCCTTAGTCACAATTTTTTTTTATAAGCATTCAAAGTTCAAAAATTGACAAAATATGGAAAAATCACGAAAATTAGCAAATTATTTTGAGTTAGGAATTCGTAAAAATTTTTCTTTTTAAATCTAAGATTTGAAAATGAAACACAAGATTCCTTATAAGATTACCTACCTTTATCAATAAAAAAATCTCTACCGGACAGTCAAATTAAATTTTTATGAGCGTTTGAAATTCAAATTTTTACAACATTGGATTTTCACTCGATTACTCATGTAGCGATTTCCTTATTTTGTTGCAATTCAAAAACGAACAACTGTAGATACATGAAAATTTCACTGAATGTTTAAATTAGCATTTTCTATACACCATACAATTTTGAAAATATTTTGACTCTTTTTGAGCTGTTTATGGACATTTACAGCTTTCAATTTTTTTTAGTTTTTTTTTCTATAAATATCAATAAAGTTTTATCTGTTGGGCCAAAAAGTGTAAAAATTTAATACAAGGCTCCTGATATATTGTTACAATAGCAGTTGAAAAATATTAAAAATACATAGGCACAGTTTTTTTTTTATAACCATTTAAAGATCAAATTTTGACAAAATTTATCAAAATCTCGAAAATTATCAATCATTGTAATTAATAAATTATAAAATGTTCAGTTTTTATAGCTAAGGATTACAAATTCAACACAAAGGTTCTCATAAACAGTTCATACTATAACCAAAAAATCTAAAAAATATATGAACACACTTATTTTTTACAGACATTTTAAATTCAAATTTGGACGAAATTACATATTAAAAAACCTAGAATAACTATTTTAGTTATTTTGTTGTGATTGAATAATATTATTTGTGGGTACTTGAAACTTCTAAAGTCTACTATTATATATCTATGATAGTATCACGGTTTTTGTTGATGTATAACGCGTTATAAGTATCTAATGGATATTTTGATATGATTAATTTGGAATTTATTATAGGTACCTATTATAGGTCAATTTTTTGTTTAATACCATAAATATGTATAATGTATATAATATGTCTGATACATAGACTGACATACCGTCACCGCTCAGAATCGTTTTTCTTATACAATGATATTATATCATTGAATTCAAATTTAATACCATCCATTATACAGTGACCCACTTGTAACCTACTGTACAGCAGAGCGACACCCACTTGCCCACCTTTTTTTTTTATGAATATCAATAAAAATATATTAGTTGGTTAAAAAAGCTTGAACATTTAATGGCTTCTAGTATATTGTTTCAAAGGCAGATGAAAAATATTAAAAATCCTTAGTCACAGTTTTTTTTTATAAGCATTTAAAGTCCAAAAATTGACAAAATATAGAAAAATCAGGAAAATTAGCAAATTATTTTGAGTTAAGAATTCGTAAAAATTTTTCTTTTTAAATCTGAGATTTTAAAATGTAATACAAGATTCCTTATAAGATTATCTACCTTTATCAAAAAAAAATGTCTATAAGTCAAATTAAATTTTTATAATCGTTTGAAATTCAAATTTTTACAACATTGGATATTTACTCGATTTCTCATGTAGCGATATCTTTACTTTGTTGTAAATCAAAAATGAATAACTGTAGATACATGAAAATTTCACTGAATGTTTATATTAGCATTTCCTATACACCATACAATTTTGACTCTTTTTGAGCTGTTTACGGACATTTTCAGTTTTCAATTATTTTAGTTTTATTTTCTATAAATATCAATAAAGTTTTATCGGTTGGGCCAAAAAGTGTAAAAATTTAATACAATGCTCCTGATATATTGTTACAATATCAGTTGAAAAATAATAAAAATACATAGGCACAATTTTTTTTTATAAGCATTTAAAGATCGAATTTTGACAAAATTTATAAAATGTTCAACTTTTATATCTAAGGATTGAACATTTAAAACAAGATTCCACATAAGTAGTTAATTCTGTTACCAAAAAATCGTAAAAATACATACGCACAGTTTATTTTTATAGTCATTTTAAGTTCAAATTTGGATGAAATTACATAAAAAAACCTAAAATAACTATTTTAGTTATTTTGTTTATTATATTGTATTATATTATATTATAAGTACACTATTATATATCAATGATAGGATCAGGGTTTGTTATTGATGTATAACGCGTTATAAGTACCTAATGGATATTGTGATATGATTTATTTGGAATTTATTATAGGTATCTATAATAGGTCAATTTTGTTTAATACCATAGATAATTATATATAATATGCCTTATCCCTAGACTGACATACTGTCTCTACTCAGCATCGTTTTTCTTATACAATGAAATTATATAATTTAATTCAAATTTAATATCATCCATTATACAGTGACCTACTTGTAACCTACTGTACAGCAGAGCTCCTTTTTTAGTTTTATTATGCCCCCCCTCAAAAATAAAAACTGAAATGACGCCACTGCTGCTGTTTTTTGATTTGTTTTGAACCGTTAATGGAAATTTTCAGTTTCCAGTTTTTTTTTAATATTTGAAAATTATTAAAAATCCAGTCACAATTTATTTTATAAGCATATAAAGTTCTAACCTTGACAAAATAGGCAAAAACTATGAAAATGTGCAAATTATTTTGAGTTAGAAATACATACAATTTTTTCATTTAAAATCTAACATTTGAAAATGTAATACAAGATTATTCATAAGTTTTACTGCCTTCATCAAAGAAAAAATTTCTACAAGAAAGTCAAATTAAATTTTTATCAGCGTTTGAAGGTCATATTTTTACAGTACGATTTGTCACATAGACATTTTCTTATATTGTTGTAATTCATAAACAAAAAACTGTGGATACGTGAAATTTGAACCATGTTTATTTTATCAATCCCCATACATGATAAAATGTTCAAAACATTTTGACTCTTTTATAGCTGTTTGCAGACATTTTCAATTTTTTTTTCTATAACTGACAATAAAATTGTATTTTATCAGGTACCATAAAAATTTAATACAAGCCTCCTGATATATTGTTATTACAACAGTTGATAAATATTATAAATACATAGGTATGCACAATTTTTTTTTTACAATTATTTAAATTTCAAATTTTGACAAAATTTATTATTTAAAAATTATTTTGTAGTTAAAAACTTATAAAATGTTCAACTTTTATAGCTAAGGATTGAAATTTTAAAACAAGGTTCCACGTAAATTGGATATATTATACAAATTACTTTATTCACAATAATATCTTCAAATATATTTAGTAATAACATAGGCTGACTGACTGTCTTCGCTCAGAATCGTTTTTCTTATACAGTGTCATTAAAACATTGAATTCAAATTTAACACAATCCATTACACTGGCCACTTGTAACCTACTGTACACCAGAGCAACACCTACTTTCCCACTTTATTTTAATATTGCACACAAGAATAATTAAAATTGGTTCATTTGTGATTAAAAAATCAAAATATACTAAAGATTATTCCAATTCAGGGTATTATGTTTACACACAATACTTATTTATGAACTGTAAAACAAAATGGTTGGTAAAATAAGTAACACAACAAATTGTTTAATTCGATTTATTTCCTATAAATGTGATATCCCTCGTACACACCATTATTAATCAAATTAAATATGACCAGTCTAGTTGTAAGGAGAAATATTAATGATTTGAAGTTTCTATATAAAATAGTAAACGGTCTTATAAACTGTCCTGAGTTACTCAGTAGCTTAAATTTTAATGTTGCTCAATGTCGAACTAGATCCAAAAAAAAATGTTTTACATTCAATTTCAAAGGACAAATTATGCACTTGTCTGGCCTTTAAATAGATTAATGAAATTAGCTAATGATGTCCAGGTTGGCTTATTTCATTTTCATGCTTTTGATGGTTTTTGTGATTATACTACCCATTATACATAGTATTATATTATATATTATATTATTAATTTATATTATTTATAACTTAATATTTTTATTATTATTATTATTATTATTATTATTTTATAATTCTCTTATTTGTTTTTGTGATTATCTTACTGTCATTTCAGTCTACTAAATGGATTTAAGTTTACTAATGTAATAACTATTAATTTGTTATTGGGTTCATCCCGTTTAAATTAAAATAAATAAATCAGTATGTTTGTAATAACAAATGCTGACTTAAGAGGACCTTACACACGCAACAGGTAATGTCTCAGTCTTACATTTGTAGAACATCTTAGCTTATTTGTGTTATTTTTAGCTGAGTAGGTATATAACATGTAATCAAACATAAAGGATAGAATTTGTGTTTGTATATTGTGTGTTAGTTTGTTAACTGACCATTATAACTTTTAAATTTTAGGTATTAAACATTCTCCACTCGACTAAAAAATAAAATTTAGTAAGAAACAATATGACATAAAAAAAAAATGTTCTCAATGTATAGTATTTTACCTTCAATTTTTATAATAGATAGATTTATTATATAGATATATATGATAATTAATGTTTAGTGGTTAATTCACTATAAACTAAAAACTGATTATTATTTTATGTTGTAAGTTTCCAAGACAGAAACAACATGCATGTGGATGTTGTCCTTTTAAGTATTATGCTACTCCTAGAGAAGTTATTATTTTTAGAAATTACTGCTATTGTACAACAGAGTGTAACAGGAAGCCTAAACAGATTCAATAACTTTTGTTCTAATCAATCTTTTTAATTTTTTTTTTATATATTATAATTTATATTCACTTGCGTTACACGTATAATATAAAAAAAAAGGTGGGTAAGTGGATGTCGCTTTGCTGTACAGTAGGTTACAAGTGGGTCACTGTATAATGGATGCTATTAAATTTGAATTCAATGATACAATATTTTTGTATAAGAAAAACGATTCTGAGCGAAGACGGTATGTCAGTCTAGGTTTAAGACATATTATATACATATCTATGGTATTAAAAAAAAATTGACCTATAATAAATTCCAAATTAATCATATCACAATATCCATTAGGTACTTATAACACGTTATACATCAATAACAAACCCTGATACTATCATAGATATATAATATAGTGTACTTTAGAAGTTTCAAGTACCCACGAATAGTATTATACACTCACAACAAAATAACTAAAACAGGTATGCTAGGTTTTTTAATATGTAATTTCGTCCCAAATTTGAACTTAAAATGTCTGTAAAAAATAACTGTGCTCATATATTTTTTAGATTTTTTGGCTACAGTATGAACTATTTATGAGAATCTTTTTTTTAAATTTTCAATCCTTAACTATAAAAACTGAACATTTTATAATTTATTAATTAGAATGATTGATAATTTACGAGATTTTGATAAATTTTGTCCAAATGCGATCTTTAAATGCTTATAAAAAAAATTGTGCCTATGTATTTTTAATATTTTTCAATTGCTATTGTAACAATATATCAGGAGCCTTGTATTAATTTTTTACACTTTTTGGCCCAACAGATAAAACTTAATTGATATTTATAGAAAAAAAAAACTAAAAAAATTGAAAACTGAAAATGTCCGTAAACGGCTCAAAAAGAGTCAAAATGTTTTCAAAATAATTGTAAGGTGTATAAGAAATGCAATAATATAAACATTCAGTGAAATTTTCATGTATCTACAGTAATTCGTTTTGTAATTACAACAAAATAAGGCAATCGCTACATGAGAAATCGAGTGAATATCCAATGTTGTAAAAATTTGAATTTCAAACGCTCATAAAAATTTAATTTGACTGTCCGGTAGAAATTTTTTATTGATAAAGGTAGACAAACTTATGAGTAATCTTGTATTACATTTTCAAATCTTAGATTTAAAAACAAAAATTTTTATGAATTTTAACTCGAAATAATTTGCAAATTTTTGTGATTTTTCCAAATTTTGTCATTTTTTGAACTTTAAATGCTTAAAAAAAAAACTGTGACTTACGATTTTTAATATTTTTCATCTGTCATTGAAACAATATAGTATGAGCCTTGTATTAAATTTTCAAGTATTTTTACTCAACAAATAAATTTTTATTGATATTCATAAAAATAAAAACTAATAAAATTGGAAACTGAAAATGTCCCTAAACAGTTCAAAATAAATCAAAATATTTTGAAAATGTTACCGTGTATAGAAAATGCAAATATAAACAACCACTGAAAATTTCATGTGTTTACGGTCATTTGTTTTAAAGTTACACCAAAAACCAAAATCGATTTTCTCGAAAACAGATTTTGCGTAAAAATTCCCGTTTTTCCTTAATTTTTCTTGGCGCTTTTGAAAAGTACTGGGAATTTTAAATTTTGACCTCCCCAATGCACCAACGATATTCACTTTCCAATCGAACAAGATACTGAAGACGAAAATCGAAGCATTATTTCGACTACTTATTGTGTACACAGACACAAAAAAATAAAAAAAAAAAACACACATCATTGTAAAATCAATACATTCATCGTTACACTGAGAATCTAAAAAAATTATTTTTATTTTTTAATAATGAAAATAAATTTTATGGGAAAATTCAAAATAGCCAATTTGTGAATCTGATTATAAGAATAATTTTGATGGAAAAAACATTTATTTAAGTTAAGTAGTTTAGTAATATTATTTTTGGGAATTTGCTAGCATGAGTATATTTCTTAAATTATTTACTAATCATATAATTTTAACAAATATTGTCAAATGTTTAAATAGCATCTTTTTTTTTTTTTTGTTAGGTCTTCCTGTTACAACCTGTATAAGTTAAAATATCAAAATGTATAAGTATTTATGGTTTTTAGGTTGAATAGAAATTAATAAATTAATTAATATTTCATAATCTCAATAATCTAAGTAAAATAATAAGACACTAGTATTTATGAATTATTTGAATGGTATTATAATATTGTTTACATTATCTTACACCCAATTCTGTTATATTATAATATATTCCCATATAAGCCTGGTAACTTGTAAGTAATATGAAAACAGTCTGTAACACAGATACCCACTATACGGGATGAAAAATCAGATAATATTTCTGTGACAAATAATATAGATGATTTGAACTTAAAACTGTATGTATAGGTAATCCACATAATAAAATAAAGAGCAATTTTACCTCTTCTAATTCTTTTCCAACAGTCTTTAATAAAATGCATAAGCACTCTAGTGGTTCTTCAACATGTTTAGTGATTAATTTATCGATGCGATTCATCATAATATTTGGAGTAAGAATATTTTGTTTGAATAATTCACCCATAAACCTAAAAATATAGTATAAAAAAGTTATTTTGATAACATTTGTTTATATTACACTTTATTTTTACCGGCAATTTCTAACAGAACGTTCATGTGATGTTCTTTTATATTTTTCATATTCAACTTGAAGTTTTTTTTTCTTTTCCTGAAAAAAATAATAAATACAAATTAACAATGGTCGTACTTAATGGTGTTGGTATTTTATGAACATAACTAGATCTTTGCACACAGTGAGTTTCTTAGCAAAATCCATTTCCTGGGCCTTGTCTATGTCAAACTCTCGTTCACAATTACTTATAACTAAGTTCTTAAAAGTTACTTTGTTACCATTGTTAGACATAACTTCTACAGATTGCATAGCTGAACATAAAGATGAACAAAGAGGTGCAAAACCTTGTTTTTCGATTGCCTGGAATTTAATAAGAAAATGAATTCTATTTAATTCATGTAAACACAAATAAACAATACAATAATAAATAAGACAATAATAAAATGGTATGAAGAATGGTTAATTTGATAAACCAAAGCATGTATTGGGTAGAATTTGTAACTATAAAATTATTATTACCTACTACTTTAAATTCACTATTAAAAACTTAAAAACCCACATAGATGAATTATGCAATACATATAAAATAGTAAACATAATTATAAAAATGGATTCAAATGTACAAAAAATTGTTTTTGCAGTTAAATCACACGTATCTATCATAATGAAATAAATGATTCAACAATTGTCTATAATAAATAATAATTATACCCATTGGTTAATACAAAATATTTTACACTTAATATAATTTTATATATATGGTACCTTTTCAAAAACTATTAAAACAGTGTTCTCTAATAATTCCATTGAATCTATGGGCAACCTTTTAAAATCCTCAATTATTGAATAAATAGTATCTGGAGATATTACATTTATAATATTTCGAACAGTTTTGTTTATTTCCTGTAAAAATATAAATTACATAATACATATGCCCAGAACACATAACAATAATATTGTTTTATTTTTAAAAAATGTCAACATTGTCATTTAAATTGAATAGATAACTTTTTGTTATGCCCTTAATTAGTTAATTTAACTTAGAAAAATATAATTGAACTGTTTATTATAATCAACTAAAAAAATAATGAATAAATAGTGTACTAATGAGTAATGGTACCTTACTCCCTTAAACACGATTTAGTGAATCATTGTTATCAATTAATATTTATTATTGAAACATCAAATTAATCAAATTTTTGTAATTCTACTGTTTGGGCAAACTTATTTTTAAAAATTTGAGAACGATAGCTAAATCAGAATTTAACACTTTTAATTAAGATTAATAGACATTATTTATATCTGAATGGTAACCATTGGAGTAAATTAATTTAACATAAATTTGCTAGGTACCTACTAGAATTAGGATTAGGGAAGTGCAAGTACAAAGTAATTATTTACATGTATGAAAGTTATGTAGGTACCTGTAGGTAGGTACCTACCTACTTGTAAAGAATAAACAGTTATTTATATAACTTTAAAAAGTAACTCGTAATTTATTAGTATTGTAACTATTTACAAAAGATGCATCGATTTATATATAATTTATTAAGTTACATTTAAATAATGATGTTGTCTTATATTATAAGTCTTTGTAATATTTACCTTATAATTTTGTCTGGTTTTTGAGTGTACTAAATTACTTTCACTTGCCAATTTATTGAATTGTGGTTGGGACACTTTTCGAAATTTTTTGAATCCTCTATTATTTATATTTTCAACTTCACGGCCCAGAGTAGGATCAAATATTCTAAGAGTTTCTTCCTTTACAGATCTAGAAGCTTCAGGGATTTGCATTGCAGTAGTTGGTGGTTGCTGTGGTACTTGTTTCAAAGGTTGTGTATTAGGCACCATATCCATTGGTTGAGACTGTATAAAAAGAGATTTCAATGTGAATTTTGAACATTACTCATATTAGATACAGGAGGATTCTGTGCTGCTGTTATGACTTATTAGTCAATACTATAAGCTGTAGAACTGTAGATGGTGAAGGTTGTGAGTAGATTTCATGGTGAAAAAACCATTGAAATTAATGTAAATACTTAGAAAAATGTCATTGTGTAGGTATAACCAGTGTCTAGGAGTAACTTAACTCAAGTTACAAGTTACAGTAACAAAAATTAGTTTTTAGATTATTTTTTATGGTAATTTAACTACAATTTATTTTATGGAACTCATAAGTAATTTAAGTTACTTTTTTTAGTGAAATAATTACTAAATTAAAGCTAATGGCCCATGTCACCAATGCTATAATGATCAATTAAAAAAAAAAATTACTTAATTAGGTATTCATTTCTTTTTTTTTTAATACATTTTAAGAGCCAATTGGTTAAAAATAAAAAGTAAGTTGTTAACATAATTGGATATATTACTGGGCTTCAGAATAGGATAAATGAGCCATATAGAGCCATGTGCATTATATGTTCAATAAATTTGAAATATTTTTGCCCCAAGCAGACCTAATAAGATCTACTATGAGTCAAACATGGTCGAATAATATTTCCATTCTTCGTGTTCACTGGGATGAAGAAATAAATATAGAAATTATTTTCAATCAATTCATTAACAATTCCAAAGTGTGGAAAAATACATTTGCTTAGTAAAATATACAACTTTAATAAATAAAGTATCATTTTCCAATTATTTTTTTTTTAATATTGTCTAGATTTTTCATGATACCTACTATATTATTAAAATGCTATAAGATACAAGACATTAAATAAAGATGTATGGTAATTGTTTAACAAACAATTTAAGGAAAATAAAAATAATAAATATATGGCAAGAGTCAAGCAAAAATGTACATAAATATCTACAAAATATGCCAATGCTAATCAATTAATGATTGAATGAAATTTTAAAATGTTCTTACCTTTAAGTTTGATCATTATCCTATATAAACCCATAGGTAATACACTCTAATATTAAACTAATATGAATAAATAACATTATAATGAATGATAGTTGTAAGCAGTTATAACTGTAATTGAAATTTGTTGTGGTACATTTAAAAAATCGATATATTTTTTTGTGTTACCTAAGGGCTAGGAGCATTAATATGTTGCATGAAGAATTTATTAAGTATTTTTATTTTTTTTTGTGTATTATAGACAGAATTAGGACTTATCACATGATCCTATGGTGTTTATTTTTAAGTTAATACGTTCTAGTAAGTCATAGCAATTCATTATGCTGTTTGATATTTTAATAGGAATTTAAATTCATTTTTGTCATATAAAACTCTTAGTTTTAGTAGATTAAAATATACTTCAACATTCGTAGGTATACTCTGAATGTGGAATTATTCTTCTATAGCATTTAAATGAAAGAAATCTGGGGAAATTATTTGGAATATTAGATAACTCAACTTACGATGCTTGACAAGAATTGTGAAAATCGAAAACATTTTCAAATTATTTTGTTATTAAAAATATTTAAATATTCAATTTTTATAGCTAAGAATTGAAATTTTAAAACAAGGTTTCTCATAACTAGTCCTTACTTCGTCTTCAGACATTATGCGCCTTCTTTTTAATCTTCGATCAGGCCATATTTTAAGGATGTTTGGACCGTTTGTCCGTTTTGACAGGCACCATTCATAATATATACATAATGTATAATAAATAATATTCTTTATTTCATTTAATATTGACTCGTGCGGCGTGAACGTAGAGTAGTTTTTCATAATCTTCCAGTTATTTGTTAGTATGTTATACTCTGGTAGTTTGTAATTATCATATACAGCTTCAAAATTCTTTAAGAAATAATAATAACTTAAATTGTGTACAACGTAAGTGACCCTAAAAGGATATAGTTCCTTAAATGTATATTTAGTTGTACCCGAATTAATACTTACGTTTATTCTTGTTAAGGTCAGCCAACCAACCACGATACCCAGCAACACGTCATAATCTTTAGTTATGCGTCCAAACAAAACGGAGAGAACTTGCCTTGCAACGTCCGCTCTTGTACCAAATCGATTTATACTACATAGGAAATTATTTACATCTATATCAGAAATCGTTGCCAGCGGCTTATTTAAAAAGTGAGACGTGAACATCCTCACTACACACGTCGTGAGACTTCTAAATTCCATGGTTTGCGTTAGCAGTTAGCACTTTAATTTATTCAAAACACAATTACTCGACAACAAGTCAGTAGTCACTATAAGGTTAGGTTAGTCGGCAGTAGTCGCTACTCACGAGTCACAAACGACAGTACGAGACAAACCAGCCACCAATAACCAATCCGCACTCGTAATAGTCGTAATTTATTTGTAAATTAAACACTAATAACGAGAATCAGACATTTTCAAATTCGAAATTACCAACTTAAGAGAGCAAAAATCCCACCAATCTATTCGCAACTAATATCATGATACCGACCTATTGCCCGCTATTAGCAACAATAAATTGTCGAACTGCATTTTCTATTTTCATGTTCCAATATTATTATTCTTGTAGTCTTGAGTCTTCGAGGTACGATTTCCCCGCAGCTTCTGGACACTATCGGTCTGGACGTAGGTCGGCGTCTGACGCGGCCGTGCTGTTCCACTGTTGGACGCTGCAGGGAAACCGTAGCTTTAAAATGTTAATAATAATTTACTAATTTAGTTATCTAAACATCAAACAATACAATTAATATTGAAATTCGTTTAACCACAGTAACGGTCGACGTCTATAACATTGCCCTGGTCGCCGGTGTCGACTACTCGTCCACATAATAATTAACCTAACCTTTCTCTCTGTCTTACAAACGCATAACATAGAAAATTGTACTCTCAGCAGATCACGTTTAGCTGTGTTAGTTTAAAAATTAGTGTGATTTGATGTCTTATACAAATTAAAAGTAAAATTATTATCTAGTGAATCTTGTAAGGTTTTTTTATATTTTAACTTTAAAGCAAGTTATGAGTATTTTAAAATTGTGAATGGTTTGTGCATTTTAAAATACTCATAACTTGCTTTAAAATTAAAATATAAAAAAACCTTACAAGATTCACTAGATAATAATCTTTCCTTTAAATTTTATAAGATGTCAATTAACTCTAATTTTTAATCTATAGAGCTAGAGATGTAAGCTTGACAGTTTTCCACTTTATTTGAAAACTTTATTTTCAATGATTTTTTTTTACATAATTATTAATTGTTGAGGTTTTACGGTTGTTATGTTAGTTAAATGTTTATTATTTAATTGAGAATTAAATTACTATGAATATGAACTAAAATTAAAATATAATATATAGGTAGGTTGTAGGTACCTACCTATAATATATGTTAAATAAAATATATTTATCAATTATAAATAGTTCTGACTTATATGGTCTTGTGTTAAGACTAGGTACATTGTAATTTGTAAGAAATACCTAATAACTTATAACTAATCATACAAAGTAGTTAGTGTAAAATTCAAGAAATAACTCAATCAATAAATTAGGAATAGGTAGGTACGTTTATACCCTTAACATTTAAAATTGAAGTAAAAATACAATTTTTTTAATAATATAGATAAAAGTGCACAGTTATTGCCGATATAAATTTATTTGTATTATGCGTTTCCTATATTAGGTATGTTTAATAGTATAATATTATTTATTAAAATATGTTAATGGTAATACAGTTTAAACTTTAAATATAACTATGTAGGTTAAATATACTATAACTAATAACTATATAATATCAAAGAATATATTATTTGATAAGAAATTAATATGAGAAATTAAAAAATGTAGGTAGGTACATCATTACTCTCTAACCCTGGTTATAATGTAAGGCTATACCTACTTACTACTTAGTATTAGTTGTTATTATGATGAATTGGCTACAAACATAATAATATAAAATATTCATAAACAATTATTATTTATTCATATTTTATATAAGTATGAAAAAAAACTACGCTGGCCATGTAATAATATGTGTGTTATTGATTTTATTTTAATCGATACTAGAAACCAACCTATTAAATTTATTTATTTATTATTAATGTTTATATTTCAATTTTGTTTAAAATATATTTTAATTATATTATACTCCACAGTTTTAACTTTCTTGCGAATAATATTAAATTTTTCCGATTGTCGTTTTAATTTTTTAATTTCTTTAAGTTTTCCAAAATTCTTTTTAACTTTCCTTACTTTCTTTAAGTTTTTGCAAAATTGTTCTTTTTATTTTCAATATAAACCATAATACCGTTTTAGATACATATAGGTGCACACATCAACAATGAATGCAATTTTAATTGAACAAAAGCTACTATTTATCAGAACACGGATCCAAAATAGTGTTGTACGTACTTCGATGTTTCATAGCTATTGGACAATATGGAAAAGTTAATGAGTCCACTTGATATTAAGAAATTATTTCAGCTCAGCCAAATGAAACTTGGTACCTATCTATAAACAGTATAAACCAAATAACTAATAAGTAAGACAATTTTCTGTATTTTGTAAATGCATATATATAATATTATTTTTGTTTGGTATTTATTTTTAGTAGGTAGCATATAATAATATATAAGTATAGGTATAGATTTACACTTATTAGATAAATTAGCTAAAGCTTAGAGCAAGGGTCGGTAACTGGCGGGGAACCACTGAATTAAAATAAATGGACGGCAAAACTATTTTACTTTAATGCTGATTCATTTTTCATTATTTTTCTCTGTATTTAGACCATTAGCATGATAAACAAAAGGTTTTCTGGACCAACAAAGTTTTTTTTTCAAATCCTCCGGACCCCCCAGAAACTAATTACCGATCCCTGGCTTAGAGGGTGACCTGTGAGAGTGACGGATGATAATTCAGCGACCAGAGTTTTTCAGCGATTTTGTTTTAGACGAGAACGAAAATATTGTCCGCTGACCGCTGCACATCGTCCCTATTTTATTCGTAATGAGTAAAATAATTATTGTACCTATTTAATTTAATATTGTCATGCCTAACGTCTTCATCTGACTGTTAAACACATCACAGACTATCGCCGGCCGGCCTCACACACAAACATTGTTATCAGACTTTTTACTGCAATTTTTTTTCTTATTATTTAAAATATGCTGTTGTGTTTATAATTTTTTTATAATGATATTATGTTTTGGTGTGGAAATTAATTCAACAGCGCGTATCGTATTTTTAATTTCTCCTTTGAGTGAGCTAAAATTATTTATTGCATTATTGGTATTATATAGGCGTTAATCTCTGTGTTTGAAAAAATCACGTTTCTTATTAATATTATTATTTTATGTTACACCCTATAATTACCGCTAATATATTATAAGACACATCCACTATCCATATTCTACCTCTACGTATCTATCATCATGTGTGCAAAACGCAACTGTGTTCATTGTATTTTTATAAGATGTAACCCTCAATATTATATTATCATAGACTTAAAAACTCTCTCGTTACCTATAACAACTTCAACTTAATAATTACGCTGCAACAGCTTAAATACCTGTCTATTCTAATTATTTGCAATATAGTATTATTATATCATTGTCAATTATTTATTATTACTTTAATATAACATATTATAGAGCCAGAGCCATATTGCATTTTTCTTTTAAGGGGCCTGCACGCGACCTGTTTTTTTGCTCAAAAACATGCCTTACAGGAAAAACTCTCACGCCTCGTAGATTGGTCCGATTTCCGTAATTTTTTTTTTGTTAGATAGAGGAAGACTTCTTACAGGGCGCATTGGACTTGGATTTTCAACATTATTTTTCTAAATCATATGTTACAAGTCTGAATTTAATCAATTTTTACAACTTTTTAGTTTTTGTATAATTTTTTGTTTTTAGCGACGTAATCAAAAATCGAAGTCCAATGCGCCCTGTAAAAAATATTCCTCTATCTAACAAAAAAAAAATTACGGAAATCGGACCAATCTACGAGGTGTGAGAGTTTTTCCTGTAAACTGTGTTTTGACCGATATAATACACCCTATCAACCCCCCCTAAATAGGTATTGGGTAGTAGATTAGTGGAAAAGTCTTATAATTGAGGTGGCAACTAAAATATAAAATTTAATTTTCAAATTTTATAGAATTGCGGAAAATTTGAAAAATCGCGAGCAGGCCCCTTAATCGTTGTTTAACTATACGTATTTTATTAATTGTTCGCCCAAAAAAGACTATACTTAGGTACCTATTGCAGAATTCATCTGTGGGCCGAGTCCCGTATATTTTCATTAATGATTTCTTATTATTCTTTCGTTATAAACTTATAATTCATAGTATGCTATGATTAATTTGTGTTTTTTTATTATTTGAATTAAAAATATTATTATACAGCAACATATTTTATACTAATAAAAACTACACACAGTAACACAATACATATAAACACATAAACCCATTTACCCACTTATACCCACCATGCACTGCACTCGCTGGTTTTGTTAAGCAACCCTGTCCACTACCTTCGAACTACTATTATATATTATATGTATTGTGAAGAGTCTCGGACAGGTTTGAATGGAAGTCGATGAATAGATGAGGATCCTGTTGGTAGTTGGTGTTGTAGTGGTTGGTGACATAGAAATAGGATTTTAGTAATCATGTGGATGTTGAATAAAATTAGAGAAATAATAATAATAATAGTAATAACATAGTTATAGTAGTTATAGGTGAATATAGTTATAGTTATAGATATAGATATAATTATAGTTATAAATATAGTATTAGGAGTTAGGACAGTGTTGAATTTAAATTAATATCCAGCTATATTTAAAATTACTGTTATAATAATATCAATACTTTTTATTAACTATTCCCAGTCCCGTCACATGGTAGTTATAAATTCAGGGAGTAAAAACGGGTAACCCTCCTTAAATTGTACCCATTCTCAAATCCCAAACCCAATTTGACCCACTTTTATACCCCTTTACTCTCACCCGTAAATAATTGTACCCGATTTCGGACGCGAAATCCACAAACAATTTAACCCGGTTTTGAAAGCAAAACCCATAACCCATAAGCCGCGACCAACTTATCCCACCTGTGCACCCCATACCCTAAGCCGCTTACAATTGTACCCGGTTTCGGACGCGAAACCCGCAAACAATTTTACCCGGTTTTGAACGCAAAACCCATAACC